TGGAGTATAAAAGGAGGAGTGAGCAGAAACAAGAAGAGGGACTTCTAGAGTGAGATTGGCTTCTTCTTCTTAAGCTATAGAGAGAAAGTCACGAACCAAAGGAGGAGGAAGGAGTTCTTGACCTACCCAAGGCTTGAAGAGTGGACATTTCTCCTCCATGGAGGCAATCCAAGAAACTAAGTCCACCTTGTGCTTGGTATGGTTGTTGGAAGTTCGAGTTTTGGAATTGAGGCCTTTGTTGGATGTAAGTTGGCCAAGGTTGATAGTTGCCCGTTGGACCATAGAAACCGGGGAGGTCTTGGATTGGTAGGGGAAGACCAAGCGAAGTTTTGATGATTGTGCCACCGGGGTTGTATGTGTTGCTATACGGGTTGTTCCCTCTAGCATTGGCAATGAAACTCACTTGCTCCTCGGGGGTACTTGTCTCCTTCATCGCTTGGCAATCCTAAAATTTCATGATTAGTGCTCGAACACCAATCACAAGAAATCACCGCTCTCTTCCCTTGCTTCTTGTCTTCAAGGATCACCTCGGTCAAATTGTCAAGCTTCGCTTCAAGTGGAGCACTTGCTCCCACACTTCGCACTCCTCTTTCGGTGCTTCTCTTCCCACTTTTTGTCAATCCCCAATCATATACTTTGAGAGCCATATCTTCGAGCAACTCGATCACTTGATTTGGGGTCATGTTCATCAACTTCCCTTGGCAAAGAGAGTCGATGAGGATCTTGTCATCTTGAACGAGACCTCCATAGAAAGTTTCTATCCGAAATTGCTCCTCAAATCCATGGTGATGGATAGAGCCGGACGGTTGTTGAGTCATCGAAGTGCCTTCCCCGCCAAAGAATAGGGGAAAAGCCTCCATCGCAATGCCTCCTCGGGGACGCCATATATCTTCAAGCTTCCCGCTAGCTCAAGAAACCTTTGGACATGCGCTCGTGGCGATTCATTGGCAAACCGATGAAAGTAGGCGTTGTTTTGAATCATCGTCACAAGAGTGGGCCTGACTTCAAATTTTTTGGTGGCCACTAGTGGATGTAAGATGGGAGATTGGATATCTGCCGCCCGTGTAGCCATGTAATAGCCCATAGTCCTTGGCTCTTCCTCGGCTCCCGCTTCCACATTTGGGTTTTGAAGCGGATTAGTCCCTTGGTGTTGATTCCCCACCATCTCAACTTCAACTTCTCCTTCAATTCCTTCAAATTCGGGACCAACTTGTTGTCCCCTTTCTTCACTTCTCCTTCTTTCCTCCACTAGCTCCCTCTCTCGAGCTAAAAGTCGGAGAGTCCGGTTGATGTCCTCGTCCAATGGTGTTAAAGGCATCGGATTGCTCTAGGTCATGCACCTCCCTACACACACTCAAAGACCACAACCACGTCTAGCACTATCAAACTTCACATTTAACAAAACTGAAAATAAAAGCTAGATTAACACCAAACAAACTTTTCACGATAACGGACCGAAGTTCTCCGACAACGGTGCCAAAAAACTTGACTCGCTCTGACTATCACAATAAAATCTCACCTAAGGCACGAGTATAAACCTTAGATGGGTGCAATATAGGGCAAGTATGTTTAATATCAACCCGGACCGGCCCATGTCCCGCTACTTCGATTGTTTGAAACATTATTTAGCGGATTAGTTTTGGTGAAAACAACTATCTAAAGCTAAAGTACTTGCAAAGATGAAATGGTTTTGACACTAATTGAGAAGGCTTCACCCGGGTGTTGCTCCCCCTAGCTAACAATTACGACTTGAAGGATCGAATGACCGTGTGTGGTGAGGGGGTTATAAACCGCAGGGAATTCTAACAAGTAACCAAAGCTACCCTCTTAGTCTCTAGGTCGAGGAAATGGGATACGATCCATGCCACTAATGCGACTCTCTCAACATATTGACTAAGGAATGGTTAGACTTCACCCTCGAATTGGAGTTCGAACGGCCAGCCACAACCAAACCCTAAGTGCTAATACAAAATAGGAGGTTTGCCCTGCGTTAACCTAACTAGGAGACGACGAATTGCCCAAGAAAACCCAGCATTAAAGCCTCTTTCCAAGAAAGGAATGGGGTTTTCTCTCTACCTAGGTTAGAATGACAATTAGATTGATAGGCTTTCACGCAACACAACCATTCATGAATAATACCTCCACAATCACATTAAACACAACCACACACAAATCATTCAATTCATACAATCATTCACATAATTGTAGCTAGGGTTTACAAACACCCAAGTGAAAGAAGGGACTACTCCATGCTAGGAGAAGGGAAAACACAAGAGAGGAAAAAGGAAACCATTAAAAAGATGCTAGCCTTGCTCCTTGTGTCGAAGAGATCCTCCTTTGGGGGAAGAATTCCCAAATCCTTGCTTGGAGATGAAACCCTAGCTTCTCCTCTTCTTTGGTTCGTCACTTTCTCACTCTAAAAATCTGAAGAAGAAGAAGAAGAAGAAGAAGAAGTTTCTCACACTAGGTCTCTACCCTCTCGTTTCAGCTAGCTCTTTATACTGAGATCGAGGCCAGTTCACGGCCGTGAACATCAAAACGCGTCCGTGAACACAGTGTGCTGAACCAAAATGCACCGCTTCACTTCTTGTCAGGATGCTTCTTGGTTCACAGGTAGGAATGGCAATGGGTCGGGTTGGGGCGGGTTTTGTCAAAGCCAAACCCAAACCCATGGGTTTATCCGCCAAAAAACGCGAGGTAAAACCCGCTTGGTTTGAAAAACTCAAACCCAACCCGCTGGGTATCCGCAGGTTCATGGGTACCCATGGGTTTTCTAGTAAAAAATTTACAATAACAAGTTTCTTTCAAAATAAAAGTTTAACATCAATTTTCCCATACAAATTATTCATACAAAAAACACCAATCTAGAGCATACAAGCAAACCGCAAATGATCAATACAAATTGTTCAAAATTAAAGATAAACATCTATAAACAATAAGATTAATTGAAATCTTCTTCCTCGTCAACTAAGTTTCTTCACTCTCCACTTCATAATATCAACTTCATTCTAAACAATTAGAAAGAACAAATTATACATATCTCCACAAACTTAAAGAATATTAGTTGTTTAAGGAATATATATTATTTAGAATATTAAATATTACCGGGAAAGTAATTATATGTGTGTGGACGGGTACCCATGGGGCGGGTTTACCAAAACCCAAACCCAACCCGACCCGGTGAATAGTGTAGCGGGTTTAAACCCGAACCCGACCCAAAACCCGCCAACACGGGTTTTACCCGCGTTGACCGGGTTGGGTCGGGTGGGTACCCGTGGGTTCGGGTTTTGTTGTCATCCCTATTCACAGGTTGTGGTTCCAGTTCACTGACAGACCGTGAACACAGGCTGTCTCCTCCTCTTTGCCCGGTCTTTGCTCATTTTCTTCCAACTTTCGATTCCGGGGTTGGTTTCACTTGTTAGAATCTGAAACACAAGAAACCTAGCGTAAAACCACCCCTGTTGGAGCTCAATTGCTACAAATGTCAAAGAGAAATAAGGATAAAAAGTGTACAATTATGCCTGAATCAAATTGGTTCCTTCTTCCTATGATTTTCTTGGAATAAAACATCAGCCATAACACCAAAGAAACGTAGTCCTCTATTCTCCAAAATTGGAAAATTAGCTTCACCAGGATCATCTTGCAACTGAATCTTCACTCCCTGTCTACATAAATTAATTGCAATTCATGCGTGATTCGATTCTAAATCTATAGTTATGAGTCAAGTTCATACTTCCTATAAAATTGTCGCAACAAATTGTTTAAGGGGCAGGTTGCAACATTGTCACAATAGCTTAAAAACTTACTTGTTGGATGCACTTTTAGGTGTGGTCTTGCGGTGTCCACAAAAGTACTCATCCAAGTCCTCTTCCATTTTGCGAGCACAATCAGCACACCCTAAGTAAAACCAATTGGATTTTACTTGAATGACTTGACCTTCAACAACAAACACTTGATCCTGAAACTAGGTATGACTGTCCTCTCACTTCCAGCTTCCTCACCGAAACTAATCCAATTGAAAATTGCAATATCCCATTCTCCCCTGATGATGGGCTGCCAAATTTGTATGGACTTCACTTAGCCCATACCAATCCTAACCATTTTAAGGTCATCAAAATATAAGAGCACTGCTAATGGTTGGGCTCGAAGAAAAAACATTAAGTATGGGATCATAATTTTTTTTTTCATTGGATCCATTCCACCATGATGCAATTGAAGCTATAATATTAGTATTATTTTAATCCATTATTTTTCCTTTACAACATTCAATGGCTCTAACTTTGTAGGACTAAGCATAACATACAAAAAAAAAAAAACACATTGGGCCTTCTTCTTATTGGGTTCAGCCTTCATGATTGGGTCAGATGTAATTATAACATGTCTCTATAGGCCTTCCAAAATTGATTCCATGGGGTTTCTTTTACCCTTGAGACAAGAAGACAATGACCCAATAACTCAAGTCTTCCGACCGTGTAATGCAAAGAGTGAGAAAAATAATTCACTAATTCTCAAAAGCACAACACCACAAAGCTAGAAATTATTGATGTCCAACTATTTACAAATAAAAAATTGAAACTGTCTTCAAGATAAAGCTAGAAGCTCATAACCAAACTAATGAAACTAGGAACTGAAACCGAATTGTTCTATACAAAAACAATGAAAACGCTGATGATTTTTTAGTGGTAATGTTATCCAAAACGTGATGATTTTTTAATGTAGTGGTGCATTTTTTAATGTATTAATACATTTTTTTGTTAGGTGACCGGAAAGAATCTGTCGAAAAAATATGTTCAAAAGAATTTTGTCGATAGAAGACAACGAGACTACTGGAAAAGGAAGAGTGAAAGATAGGAAAAGAGAAGTGTAATTAATGTAGTTAATATTAATTTTTAATTTTCAAAGTATATTTAATAAAAAAAATCACAGTATCTGGTCTCCTATTTTTACTAATAGCCTATTTGTGGTAACGAAAGAATCACATGACGCCGTTTCAACGCGATCTCGATAGTGGTGAATGGTGATTGGTGAGTGACTGTCTGACTGGTCATTGGTCAATCGGGGTTGCGCAATTTGAATTTTTTTGAACTAGCCGATCCCGCTTTGTTCATCTCCCACAAAACAACACCGCCGCCGGAAATCCTCACCAAATCGCCAATCGGAGGTATTAAAGATGAGCTCACCTGTCTCCTACACAATCGACGACAAGGACCTCGACGATGCTGCACTCTGGGCAGTGATCGACTCCGCCGAAGCCTCCCGCAAGCAGCTCACCACCGTCAAACACCGCAGCTTCCACTCTCCGATCTCCAAGCCCTCGCCGCCACCACCTTCGAAAGCCCCACCGAGCTCCAAATATAACTCCAATGCCATTTCCCCTTACTTGGATCCTTGTCGCAGCAGGCCTCAGAAGATGGCGAGGACCTGCGCCTCCGAGGGGAGCGAGACTACGAGTCCGCTCGCTGTGGTCTGGGCGCCGGTTGCTACCAAGACAGCGTACTCCTCTCCGGAGGCGTACTTGTCCCCACAGATCGGGAGGTATGTCGTGAATGATCTTGGCGATGACAGATCTGACGTGTCTCCCGGGAGCTGCATTCGGCAGCAGCAGGGCGAGGAGAAGGATCTTGTGCGGCATTGCTTGAATTTGAAGTTCCCTTCGGTTTCTCTGTTCAAGGACTACCAGAATGCGGCTATGGCGGTACTCGCTCAGCTTGAATCTTCGTTAATTGTCCTGCTGTTGTCCACCTAGTTAGGGTTTTAGGATTATGCTCATCTCCTGTTCGACGAATGTTCATCCGCTTTAGATGGTTTTCAATTTTGATGGCCAGATTCTGGAGAAGTCTGATTACATGACGATTTCAGGACACCCGTTCATCAAGAAGTCTGGTGAGTTTCCACTTGTTCCGCGGGTTAACTGATTAATGGGAAGCTAAGTTAACAGCGTTGAGTGGTTCTATAGGTTGGAGGAAGATATCGTGTTTCTTCAACCTATCCTTTGAAATCAAAGATAAGAGCATCGAATTCGACGAAAACCGAAATGTCCAGCGAGCTGAGTTTGTTGTTCGAGCTTATATGCAGTATGCTTCTCTCTGAATCCAATATGCCCTTGAGCGTTGTTTCCCTTTGTTGGTGATTCTATGGGCACTTGATTTCTGTATTTTTGGCAGGGGTGGAAGGTTCTCTGATGGGTGGGGCTCATGTGAAAAGCGTGAGAAGCGGTTCTTGAAACCAAATCATGATATCCCTAGCACAGCAGAAACTCGGGCAAAGAACAAAGCTTCCCAGGTCATTTTTCCTTTCTTCTCTTTCCCCACCCACTCGAGAATTTGGTATTCCAGGAAATAACATGGAATTTTGTGATTGGCTTGGTTCAACCTGCTACATTTGAGCTTCCAAAACCTGCTGCTTCCATAAGCCTAGCGTGTCGTGATTCATGACATCACAATAATTCTTATTGACGGGACTTGATTTCATCGCAGTAACTTGGGCTGTTGAGAGAAATCTAAACTTCTTTCTAGTACAGGTACATTAATAGCAATATGTTGAGACTTGAAGGGGGTACTTGATATCGTAGCTCATTGCTCTTGTCTTGGGTTTATCTTTCCTTGCACTCTCCGAATCTGATCTGTGGTTATTCTCTTGGTAACTATTGGAATTGGTAGTTTGTCTCAAGTAGGAAGTTCCCTTTCCCCAGATTGTGACAATGGTTTGCTTCCCGTTTGAATGATCAATCCTATCTAGTGTTAGCAACTCACTGTGAATCACTTGAAACTAGTTCCAAAGATAGACAATCATCTATTGTGCAAGCTTTGTGGTTGTTAACTCCCAGTCAACTTTCTTACTATCCCTTTCCTTCTTAGGACTTAATGTTGCATATTCATTTCTTCATTTTTATTTTTTTATTTTTTTGGGGAACTCATAATCAATAGCACTGTTCCCCTCACTGCTAACCCATAAAAAAGCCTACCTGTAACGTCGACCATCATGATGAAGCTTATACTTTCTTAACATTCATTCTAACCCATCTTTGCCTGTCGACCCCTTTGCAGGACCTGCTTGGAATTGGAGAGTATCGGCCTGGTGCAGGCCAATCTCACGAATAGCGAACATAGTCAGTCCCCCCTTTCGCCTCTTTGAGCGGCTAGCTAGTCAACAATTTTACTTCAATCACCATGTAACAGAGGAGAGCAATACCACAAAAGCCAAAAAGAGAGGAGGTTTTGATACGTCTACGACTCGTATACGTTATGTGGAGTGAACTGGTGGTCGAGTAAGGAGTAACCCTTTTTGTTAGTTGCCCCCGCAACACTCCTCTGCCTTTCGAGCAAGTTAACAGAACGGATGGATGCAGTAGTCATGTTTAGAAAAGAGAACGCGAGTAAGAAAGGGACAACAGCCGGGTCCTGATAATGGTGCGGCAAAAGGCAAAGGACATGTTAAAGGGGGGGCATCTTGGTTGCCAGTGGCCTCTGGGAAACTGGCAGCAAGTTGCTAGCATTTTAACAGTGACCAAGTATACCTTACTCCTCCACCTTAGTTGAAACGTTTTCTTTGTCTCCGTCAACTGTGGGATGAGCAAGTATACCAAAATATGGCTTATCAGTTATATCATACGTTGCATAACCATAGGGCCCGTTTAGTATTGTTGGTTGTTTTTGTTTCCTGTTGTGTTATAAGAAATTTGGAAAACCAAGAAGAAAAAAAACGTGTTTAGTTGGGTTTTTATTTTTTGTTGTGAATTAGAGTTGCACAACAAGGCCCAAATATGAGAAACAACAATTTATAGCTTTGGATCTGATTCTTAAACATGTTGCACACGGGACTCCTACTGGTTGGGCGCTTGATTTCATTAAAACAGACCAGTTTTCGAATCCCCACGGAAGCAAAAAATTTTCTTTTTTTTTTTTTAACACAGCCCCCCCCCCCCAAAAACCTACTTTGACAGCCGCCCCAACCCATTTTTCTTCTTCTCCATTTTCTTTCTTCTTCTCCACAGAGACTCCCCCTCACATCCGCCTCCTCCCGCCTCCGCCCGGCGACCCTGCCGTCGCCCCCAGCCGCCCGGCGACCCCGCCAGCATGCCAGCCGCCGCACGACCCGCCTCCCCCCGCGCGCCCCGCCGCCCAGCCCGCCAGCCCTGCCTCCGCCCACGCAGTCGCCGACGCCCTGCCTCCGCCGCCAGTCCGCCGGCCGGCGACCACTTCCCCTCCATAAACGCCTAACTCCATCTCCCCGCAGCAGGTAATTTCGACTTCCCCTCCATATACTTTCTGAATATGTTCTTGAATTATGGCATGTATTTAGTGATTGATAGATTAGTTATTTGTGAATTTGGATTGATTGCTATGTTCTTTGTTTTGTGGTTTACCTCAGTTATGGAGAAAATTGTTGAAAATGGTGACAGTAGTAACTAAACGCGTTTTTGTTTCTTGTTTTCAGCTTTCATGATTTTTCAGATTTATCAACTAAACAGGTTTGTGTTTTCTGTTTTTTTCCTGTTGTGGTTGTACATATGTTTACACAACACCACTGCAACCACAACAACAACAAAATGATACTAAACGGGGCCATAGGTTTTGCATCAAAAATTTTGGCACAATGGATCGAGATCATTGTGATTAACAAAATGGTGGGTGAATTGCATGTTTGGTCACTGATTTATTAAAAAGGTTCACGTTTAGTCGTTGCGAATATTTATTTTCATTCGTGGTCATTGAAATTAGTTCAACAGTTCAGGTTTGGTCACCCTCCGTCCAACTTCATTATCTCTATCCTATGTGGCAGTCAACTCTCAGAGTTAACAATTAAATAAGTGACGTGACAATTAAAATTAAATAAATTTAATCCTTTTCAGTTTCCACCTCATTTTAATTTGGTGAGTGTAGTGCTCATATTGAGAAGTTTTGTAAACCACAAAGGAATTGCAGAAAAAGCAGATTGGGGAAAGATGCTCATTGTGAGCTTTTCCATTCACAGAAGCATATATACACTAAAGGATTTACAGTTTCACTAGTTGTTAAAAGGAAACTAACTAACTAACTAATCAAATCTGTACACTTGTCCTATAAAACAGTAAAATCTGAAGTTACGTTTCATCACCACAAAACGGTGCGTGTTATGTATGTTGCTTCTCTGTTGCCTGGACGACGACGTCTCGTTCTTCTCCTTCATTTGGGCATCTCTATTTCAAGTTTAGAGACGAACTTGCTCTGCCTTCATCTCTAGGAATTGCAATTAGCAGATGAGTGGATTCTTGTTCGTCCACACTCTTTTTCACCCTCTCTGAAGCTGGCGAGTATAGATTGTATACTCCCAGTTTTGACAATAACATAGAGAATCGTTCAATGGACAAACTCTTTGTGAAGATATCTGCCAATTGAAACTCTGTCCGAACATAGTGTAAAGATATCAAACATGACAGAACTCGTTCTCTGATGACATGGCAATCCACTTCTATGTGTTTTGTCCTCTCGCGAAAGACATGGTTTTCTGCAATGTGGATTGCCGATTGATTATCACAATAGACTCAAACAGGTTGTGGATGTGAAATTCCAAATTCTGAAAGCAATCGAATCAGCCACTGCACTTCACAACTAAGGCTCGCAAGTTCCCTGTACTCAGCTTCAGAAGAAGAACGCGAGACAATGCTTTGTTTTTTACTTTTCCAGCTGATTAAACCTGATCCCAGGAACGTGCAGTAGCCTGTGATGGATTTTCTTGAATAAGGGTATGTGGCTCAGTCAGAATCACTGTATCCTCTTAGCTGCAAGTTTGAATAACATGAATATAGAAATCCTTGACCTGGTGCCAACTTTAAATAGCGTAAAACTCGTTCCAAAGCTCGAAGGTGTAATGTAGTTGGCTTGTCTTGGAACTGGCAGAGTTGTTGTATTGCAAATGTGATGTCAGGCCTGGTAGTAGTCAGATATTGAAGTTGTCCTACCAGATGACTGTAACCACTAATGTCCTCTAGAGATCTCTCCCTCCTTCTGATGACAACACCTTTTTAACAAACATAGGTGTTACTGCAGGTTTTGATTCGGGTCCAAATGTACACATTTTACCCCTCATTTCTTATTCGTTTAGCTTAGTATTTCATCGTTCCTCAACATATTTCACGCTAGGTTGTGCTTGTTTTGATACATTTCAGGTTCTAGTACGAGGACGAGTTTCGGGATAATTGGAGGTCAAAAAGCGCAAAATAACTGAAGAAAAGGGCGACCGTGACAATTGCCCCGTAATAGTGAGTGCAGGCGTCCAGAAGCAGCCGCAGTTCACTATCAAACAAGGGAGTTCACGGTCTTCTAAGACCGTGAACTGGAGCCACAAACCGTGAACATCGAGCAGTCCAGCGAGGTTTCAGAGGTTACTGACACCAAGGGAGTTCACGGTCGCTAAGACCGTGAACTAGGGCCATTAACTGTGAACCCAGGAGAGTGAAGCGGTGCATTTTGGAGATGACTGAGTTCACGGATGCGTTTAGGTGTTCACGGCCGTGAACTGGCCAACGCGGCCGTGAACTGGTCACTTTAGGGCAAATATGAAGACAGCAGCGGGGAGAGAGAAAGGGGGTTCATTTTTTAGGTTAGTTTTCATTTTCAGAATAAAGACGATTCTAGTGAGAGGTTAGGGTTTCTTCTAGAGGGAGAAAGTGCAAATCAAAGGAGGAAGAAGGAGCTTTGGGCTTGTTCCTAGCTAGAGAATTGAAGATTTCTTCATCTCAAGGGTGCCTCAAGCAACAAGGAGGAAAGATTGACATCATTTCATGGTTATTTATTCCCTTTTTGTTGTTTTCTCATGTTTAGCTATGAAATAACCTACCTACTCACTTGGGTATTGTGAACCCTAGTCTCTCTATGTGTTAGGATGTAAGAACATGAACCTATTGTGTTGATTGAGTGTTTTATATGTTATTTGAGGTATTATTCATGAATGATTGAGTGTTCTAGCTTTAACTCAATATTGGATGAAATTAACCTAGAGGGTGGAAATCCCCTCTTGGTCCAATTAGGAGCTAGCCTATCGTTGTCACCCTTAGCCGAAAGGTTAAGTGAGTTAGCTTTTTAACTTGTTGCAAACACTCGCAATTAGCTTACTAAGAGAGAGTTAGGGATCTCCTTGGTTGATCGATAAAGAGGGCTAGACTCTCTAGCTATGAATCACAATCCTTGACCTAACGGTTAAGAGAGCTAGTTCCCCTAGATTATATTTGTTGATTTCCCTTCATTGATCAACTAAGGGAGTTTGTCCCTAACTAATTGTGCCCACCTAGCGGTGTATGAACACGTCCTTCACACTAGAGCTTTGTTTGTCGCTTCTTAGCATGAGACTAGGGGGAGCAATACCCGGGTGAAGCTATCTCAAGTAGAATTCTCCTCCATTTACTTTCCTAGCTTGTTTTCATTTGTAGTTTTCATAGTTTTAAATCCCAAACCGTTTTGCTAGATAACAACTTAAGCGATTGAAGTACGGGTACATGGACCGGTCCGGGTTGACCATTTAAATACTTGCCCTATACTGCACCCGGCTAGAGTTTAAAAACTTGGGCTCTAGTCGAGATTAATTTGCGGTGTAGTTTCGTGTGAGTCAGGTTTACAAGACTCAAATCTTGCTACTGTAAGCACTTCAAGATAGTACTTTCTTTGTGAAATTGTGATTCCTTCCTTTCCTCGAATCACTTCCAGACCAAAGAAATAACTTAACTCACCAAGATCTTTCATTTTGAAATCTCCATGAAGCATGCTTTTCACATCATTAATTGAATCCATACTGACACTCCCCAATACAATGTCATCGACATAGACAATCAAGACCACCAACTCATTCAAAACTTGTGCAATAAAGATAGAGTAATCACTTACTGACTGCTTGAATCCATGTTTGAGCAAAGCTTCTGTTAACTTGGCATACCACTGCATACTTGCTTGCTTCAAACCATAGATAGATTTCTTCAATCGACACACCTTTGAACTTAGGATCTTCATCCATACCTTGTGGCAACACCATATATACCTCTTCATTGAAATCACCATTTAGGAAGGCATTACTTACATCCATATGATGTAGATGCCATCCTTTAACTGCAACAACTGAAATAAGGGCCTTCACTGAAGCCATCTTTGCCACTGGAGGGAAGGTGTCACAATAGGCTATTCCATATACCTGTGTGTAATCTTTTGCCACAAGCCTAACTTTATATCTCTCTACTTCTCCATCAGACTTCAATTTGATTCTGTAAACCCATTTACATCCAATAGGCTTCTTGTTGGCTGGTAACTCCACAACATCCCATGTTTCATTCTCAATCAATGCTTTAATTTCCTCAGTCATAGCATTGTTCCATCTAGGGTCCTGGGATGCTTGCATATAGGTAGTTGGCTCTCCCTCAATACTCAGAATGCTGACAAAACACTGATGTTTGGATTTAATGTGAGTATAGGAGAGAGCTTTGTGAATGGGATTTTCAACTTTATAATCATCATGCCAAGCTGGTGGTTTAATGTTTTTGAGTGATTTTCTGAGAGGAATTGGTGGATCCTCATGGGGGAAAAGGAGATGGAGAAAAGGAAAGAGGTGAAAATGACTAATTTGAAGTTCTTGAGTGAGATGAACTATGTCCAGGGAAACCAG